TCTAGTAAGGGGAAATTTTAAAAGGACAAAGATGATGATAGATTTCTTTTAATTCAGTGTGCTGTGAAACAAAGTGCTTCCCCAAACACTGTAGTACAGCTGTTGCCATAAAACAATGCCTGGCAAGGTTGGAACCTTTATTAAGACATACAGATAGGGGATCACGTGCATCCCTGGTGTAATTCCTTTGACTTAGGTTGTTACAGGATGGATAAATCTAGCCCATCATGTGTGGCAAACAGATGTGTTCTGGTTTTACAAGCAACTGCTGTAATACATTTATTAGTCAGTGTGGAGGCCAGATGAGTTATTAGGTGCTTTAAGATGTGACTGACTTAGAGCAGAGCATTTTTTATTTGCATTTAATGTTGATCACTAAAACAGCATCTAGGCCTTTACGTAAGTGTCAGGTAAGAATAGAGATAGCCTATTCATAGCAATAGATGGGACCATTATTCTGGAATCTAACCAGTCATCCTTCTAAAACCAGTTGAACTCTGTTGTTGACTATGAACCAGACAATTCCTGCATGTTCCTTCGGGTTTTTGTCTTTACTGGGGCAGATATTCAAAGGCCTTGTGTATAGAAGTCCTCTTAATTATTGGATTAGGTCTGATTTGCCACAAACAAATGTGATTGCCTGTAGATTTAATGGAACCATGCCCCATATAAATGTAGACTAATGGCTTGAGAGGTCTGAGGCTGCATTGGGGAATAGCTGAAACAGTAGGGTGCCGTTCAATAATGCATGGTGGTTTCTCTGGGCAAACATTACTTGCAGGATCTAGTCTCTTGGTCTTGGGCAGAGACTAAGTACAGAGCATTTAGTGCAGTTGGATGGCTGAGCTTACACAGAGTATGACATGCTGCATTATACCATAAAGTGAAATATAACATCGATTTGAATTTTAAGATAGATAAATATCCTGTCTATGTGTATTTGTGGATATATCTATGTATCTGCAGCTTTATATATTGCAACCCACAGCTGGTTAGGGAAATATTTTTCCACTTGTACCTAAAGCTATCATCCACACAGAGCCTTAAAATGAACTTTGACGGCTTAAGGCAGAATCAGCACGATTCTCAGAACAAAAGAGCGTTGAATTATTTCACCTTATATGAGGTGAAATAAGAGAAATAATTCAGTCATGATACAAACTACGAGAGTTGAATTCTAATGAGTCGAAAGGGCTAGTGCCGTAGCAGCAATGTGCTAGAAAACTTGCTTAGCCAGCACAGTTCACATCATTTCCACCATTTTTAACATTCTGGGCCCAGTTTCTCCCTGACTTCCTGAGATGAATTAGACACTTTTCTCAGTAGCTAGGTCTTGTGCTGAGGGAGGCTTGAAGGCGTATATTTACTTGGATTTTTAACAGACTTCTATTGTGCGGTTTGTCTTTCTATGATAAATGTGCTCCGCTTTTACATTCTAGTGCCATTTATAAGGCTTTGTCCTACTCTGCTGCCTTTCAGGCTAGTATCTTCAGTTACTTTATACTCAGCATCACAAAGTCTACAGGAAGGGGGATAGGTGGTATTAACCAGTTAATGCCCTTTGCAGCTTGTAAAATGTGGATAATGACTAGCTGTGAGCCATACTCTCAGCTGTTGGTAAAATTGCTCCTTGCTGTCACACACTGCATGGAGCTGGCAGAAATATGTAGATAGGAACGTGCTATGTCAGGGTTGTAGTAGCGGCATTTGTAAGTATAGACAAGGTCTGGGACTTGTTTTCCCCTTTAGTTGGATTCAAACTACCTGCCACTTTCTTCCAGGGGTCCCAGAAATTACCACTTTCTTTGTCTTCTCCATGCTTTGCTTTTACTTGTGATGTTTCTTATAAGCTGCTGCAGTTTTGCTGAGATTTATGCAACCGAAGTTCATGCTGGCAGTCCTGGATACTCCCTCCCTTTCAGTACTTGTCTGCTCCATCAAACTGTAGTGCTTCTGAGGTATCGAGTTCCTAAGTGAACAGTGATGTATTTGAGTCTTTGTGATACCAGTGAAAAGAGAAAACAAAGTAGTTGTCTGATATACAATTTTTTAAGCCTGCCCATGGGGAAATTGGACTGTGGTAGCTTTGGGATGAGGTAGTAAAGGGCTAGTGTTCTCAGTGGCTTGCACAGGTCCATGGTGTTTTGTGGTTATTGCCAGTTGCCTTGGCAGTAGGATGAGCTTTGTGCTATTGCTACTCATGGTAACAGATGTGTTTCATTTTTTTGGCCCAAAGTGCTGTAACGCAAGCATGTGTCACTTGCTCTCCAGCTAAGGTTGGCACATGTAAGCATTTCTGTGCAGTTCATGGGATGAAAGGCCCCAAATCGTCAAAAGCTGAAATTGCAAAATTCCAACATGTGCAAAGGCAGGGCACTTGGCTCAAGTGGCCTCTCCTTGACTTCCATGGTGGTTGGACTAGGCACATAAACCCAAGGTACTGACACTTACTGAGCCAGGGATTAAGTGGATAATATTAGCCACTGTTTTGCAAATCTCTACCAGTTCTGTTGATCTAAGTTTCATTCATCTATTTTGGGTTTATCATTAGAAGTCTAGAGGCAAATTAAAGCTGCTTCATGAAGAATCTTGATGTGACATAAGCCTGTGTCCTAGATAAAGCTGTCACGTGCTCCTGGTTTTCAGCAGAAAAAGGATGGTTTAGGATTCCAACCCAGATCCAATAATGCAGCTGGCCCTCATACCAAATGGATCACCCTTAAGGCTCTGACTCATGGAAAGAGTCAAAATTAGATCTAAATTTTGTGATTAGAGTCCATCCCCAACCACAATTATAGGACAAGGGCTGGACTTCAGAGGCAAATGAGGTGGAAGTAATTTGAACTGAGTGAAGAAAAAAGATCGTCTAACTGCTTCTGCCCCTTTTCAGATCTGTATGCCTGGCTAGATTGCAAACTTTCCCTGGCTCCCTAGGTTATGCAGGGTACCCAATGCACTTTGAACAATAAACCTTCAGTGACACAAGACCTAGCATCTGAAGTCTAAAAACTGACCCTTTGGATGATGGACAATGGCAGCATTTTTTATGTGGATAGCTGAGCCACCAGATACTAGACTAGCAAAAGCAAACCTAAGGCTATATTTTTAATAGAAGAAAAAGCATCCCTTTGACATAAACACTGCCATTCAAAGCACCTATATGGGCCTGACTTTGTCATCTCTTATCTGAGTTACAAACGCACTTGTCCCAATCCTTGCAGCCTCCAGGCTTTACCAGTAATGCTGGTTTTATCGTGATGTTTTTATTCATACATAAATGGATTCAACTGTGCCTTTTGGGAGAGTGGTAGGCAAGTGTGGTGAATTTACAGGAAGCTGAAACATTTGTTCCTGCAAGTACCAAGGCGTAAGCGTCAACAGAGCAATGCAAGAAGTAGGTTCCATTGTCTTGAAACTGGCTTTTCTAAAGATCCCCGTTAATATGCAAAATGAGCTCTGACTAGAAATGCGTTCTAGGCCCCTTAGTGCCATGAGGCATTGAGGAGCAAGGATGAAAATTACCATTGGTGGTGGGACGATTGAAAAAAGAATCAATTAATACCTCTCTCATGCAAGCCCAACAACTTGAAGTCTTCCCCCTGCAATTCTTCCAGTTTGAGGCTTTTCTTCATGGGCTGGTTGCCAATGGATGCCATTCTGCTGGCTTGTCTTGTGAAACCAACTTTAATACAAGCTGTTCTGGTCATATGTAGGTGAGCTAACCTCATCTCTGGCCTATTGAAATCACTTCTGTGTAGAAGTCCTTGAGACAGAAACCCTACTGGGGTCCAGGTTGTAGAGGCAGAAAGTGGGAAAGAGGTATCAGTCCAGTTTATGGGACAAACAGACAACACAGAAGAAAAAGGAGTTGGTTGTAAAGGAGAAGCGGAGAGATTAGCATTAGATCCCTGCTTCTTTGCAAACCCTTGATGGGTTCCCTTTGTGGCTTGAGCAAACTTAAAATGACTTGTATCAGAAAGTGACTTCACCTCTGGAGACCTTTAAAAGTAGGCTAGACGCACACCTTCCTGGGATTATTTGACCCCTGCAGTCTTCCCTGCCCAGAGCAGGGCGGCTAGACCCAGTGATCTCATGAGGTCCCTTCCAGCCCTGAACTTCTGTGAATCTCTGTGAATCCTGGAGTCCACAGTGCTAAATTTTGGAACATATTCCTGTAGGCAAATTGTAATTCGCCTCCTATACGCAAGACTTCAGTCACTGCCTCTAGAGTCAAATGCTGTCTTCAAGAATTTGCAGCTTTGAAGGGTAAGCAGTGGTGTTTATGGTACACCACAAAAGTAAAAATTGCGTGTTGCTTGATTTTTATTTGCATTATTAAACATGCTTCAGTGGATTGGCAGGTAGAGGGTTAATGCTTTCCAAGACCACAGCTCTGAGAGCTATAGGAGTCCAACCCCTCTTCTCACGTGGCTGGGCTTCCATCTGTGATGAATTGGGCAATTCCCACAGCACCCTAAGAGTGATGTGAGCCAAGGAGTCTAGGTTGGTTGTCTCTAGGAGCCACTTGCTTATTGGAGTCAGCCTCCTGGGAAGAGCCTTCTTACTGGAATACTTGACCCCTGCCTGTTAAGAGCCATTCTGTTCACTTCATTTAGAGATCAGGTCAAAGGTTCATCTTTGAGGTCACATTTTTAAAATCGCATCTGACTGGGAGGTGCTTCTGTCTTCCAGGCTCTTGGTTTGCTCTTGGCTGGGTTCTGCAGGCGGTGAGCATGAGTCACTTTTTTCTGCTGTGGGTTAGGGTTTGGTAATGAAGACTAGTGATTCCTTGTTCTGGCTGTGCCACTGAGTAGATATGACAGTGAGCCAAACCACTTAACTTCTATGCTCTGGTTTCCTTATCTTTAAACTAAAAATGATACCTGTAATCTTATATCAGGAAGGTTTGCAAAGAGATTTACATGCATGACTACACTGAGAATGAGTCAACCTCCTTTGAACGTGCCTAGCCACTTATACTTTTTTTGCTCTCGTTGCAGGTTTTAATTGCATTTGGAGAATTTTTTTTATCCTTAAACTGGGCTGTTGTGACTGACATGCTATTGGTAAGTCTATCGTTCCTGCATGTGTATAACTTTTTTGCTCGATAACTTGATACCCTTCTCAGTCACGTGTACTAGTAGTCGGAAACTCCTCAGTGCCTGTTTCTTATGGTACATATTTTGTTTCCTCGAAGAGTTTCACAGTTGGAATTCCATTCACACCCAGGGTATAACTCATCCATTCACACCAAGGGTATAACTATCAGAAAGTAGTGCCATGCAGAGAAACCAGAGCTAGCTGTGAGTGAGTTAGTCTGGATGCTGGCAGCAGTAGAGGTTTGTTGGCACAGTGTGCCACCCGGGCTAAAAGATAGCTCATAATGAGCTAGACTTCTGTACAGGAAGCAGCATGCAAGCTACCTAATGCTGGTAAGAAGCAAGATGTAGATGCCCAAGTGAACTGTGGTATCGTTGACCAAGCTATACTGCTTTTGGCACTTGCCTTGTTCAGATATAGCTTTGGTACCTGCCAAGTGCTGCATGGTGTCAGTGCCTGTCAAGTCTTCTGCAGAAGTAGAAGCCATTTCACAACCCATATGCCAGTGCTCATGCTGAAATGGATAGAGTAAGAGATACAAAGTGAATAACTTACATTTCCCTGGAGATTTGCTTTGTTGAATCTTGCTTTACTATTCTGTCAACTACCAGGAAGTTTCTCTTCTAAACATGCAGTGCACACAGCTTCTAACATTTACAAATCAAATTCATACACAGTGTCACGCTGCTGAAGTGTTAGGAAAACAGTGAAGTTTACTAGACTATTGGTGGTTCCAGCAGTGACACCACAAGCTAAGGAGAGTAACAATGAATATTACACTTGACTTCCCTAATCTGTAACTCTCTTTGGAAGAGTGCTGTGAAAATCACGTGTCTCCGTGCGTCTGCATCAATGAGGGACTGTCTTTTCTCTTTGTAATAAAGCAATTTTGAGGTAGCAACATTTTAATGATACTTTTTTTTTAATAGGACTTCCATTTCACAGAAGAATTTGGCTACTTCTGTCTTGATTAGTAACTTTGTAGTTGTTACTTTGCTTTAATATACAAAGCAGGCTAGACCTTACACAAGTACAAGAGAAGTATGTATCCCTGACATCCCTATGGGTAGGGGTGCATAAATACCTTGCTGTAAAGTACATTGGTTCTGATTCAGTTAGTTTGTAAGGGCACCAAGGAGTAACACTATGCAAGATAGGTTGCTCCACTTTCACTGAAGGCTAAGCTACCTCAAATTTATTGCAAAGAGAGAGTGTGTGCATGAGCAGTTACCCTAGAGTGGGTGGTGTGCTCTGTTTTCACCCCCTAATTTAACTTGGTCTTCTGGAAAAGTTATAACACTAACCATTTACACAATTCCAAAGGAAAGACTGTAATATTCTAAATTATTCATATCTAGTAATCCTCCTGTAGAAACACCATGCAGTAGTATCACATCCAGAGTCTATCAAAGTTACTGGGAGCCATTACATTCATTTCTTTCCATAAAAGGTGGGCATGACTGTCTGACCCAGAGACTAGAAGCTGTACATTACAAACTGTACAACACAGTAAAGAAAAGGACCCTCATCAAAATGATGATAAGCTCTGTAACCAGAAGCTGGATAGTACTGTAGAGAAAGAGCAGGGGTCACTTGGGTGTCTTTCATTCTATGCAGTATTTCTTATCTCAAAGATCCCAGATCCTCTTACAAATTTCAGGGTGACGTCATGCAGTCTTTAAACATATGTTTTACATCTGTATAACCTATAGTTCAGATGTCGTTATATGGCTTCAGTTTTTGATGCACAGCAATATAACGCATCAGTGTGGAATTAATAGGGCTAATTGGGAACCACTATAGGTACTAGATGATGATGATGTATAGAAAAGGATTGCCATTTTTCTTGGGTGCAGAAGTGAGAATGCTTCAGTACACTTAATCTGTCAGTCCTTTAAAAAAAAGTACATTGTCCCTAAACTCAGCCTTGACAACATAAAACATGCACAGCTCTACATTAAGGTTAGGTCAAATTAGGCAAACGCATGGGTCTAGAGTTTATCTACCCTGTGTCCTACCTTCTGCCTGATTTTTAGACTGACATAGCTAACTACTTGTCTAGAGTATATTCCAAGATTTTGCAATATGACTTGCATCTTTGAGAAGAAAGAATAAAGCTACCAAATGAAAATTCAAAACTTTCCATCAAATCACTGCTGAAATGGACAATTACGTCAGTCTTTCTTTAAATGGATCATATAATGGCTATACCTTGTGGTACCACTTTCTGTCGCATGTCAAATTACAAAAAAAATCTGCTTCATTAAATTGGTGTTATAATAAAAAAAAAATCTGAAAGTGACCTTAATGAACTGGTTGTCAGCTCAGCTCTTTTTTTGCGGTCTACAAAGGGTCAAAAACAATTACCCTGTGAGACAGTGAAGAAATGTAGGAAAGGCTGGGCGTAATCCATCAGAGAGACTCAAAGGTATTTTTTTTTGATTGCTTTCTATTTCAGTTTACTCTATCAGTGTTTCTTACATCAATGGCACCAATTACAGTTACACATTTTAATTTTCTTTTTTTATAGACCACTTACTGCTTCAGCATGAGGTTTTAAGTAGCTTTTAATTGAATCATACACTTTTCTCTGAACTTTAAACCTGGATATTAATAAGCCTACAAGGTGTCCTTGCTACAGAGGAAGAGGATGCTTCAGTATTTTGCTCGTGGGATGTCACAGAGAGACAAAGTTCAGACCAACTAACAGAGTTAGTTATAAATGGGAAAACCAAGGCAGAAGATGATACTTAACTATTGTTAGTAGCAGTCTTGGAGTGGCATGAAGGAGCATTGCTGGTTAGAGCAGAAGTTACAAAGCTGATGACATTTCCTTTGCCCTCATACTTATATCTCCCATGGAGCAAGAAAAAAAACAGAACCTTTGACTTTTTAATTTTGTGTGCCTTCCCAGTCTCTTGCTCTGTGGAAAGGCTCTAATTGAAAGATGTGTTCTGTACCGGTACAACAAAAGACTTGTCTGTAAATTAGTGCTTTGTTCTGAGCTGTATTAAACATTGCAGCCCGTAACTTCTAGCAAGTATCAAAAAGAATGGTTCTGTAGGGAATCTTAATGATGTGCAGTTTCCCTACCAAATCTGCATGTGTTTTGCGGTGGACTCGTTACATTCAGAACAGGGCTAATTGCTGAAGTTGTGGTGGTTATACAGTGCTTCACCTGAGTGTCTTGGAACCTGTCTTCCATTGCACTGAGAATCAGAGCAGGTTCAGTGCTCTGATGCTATTGTATTGACTGAGAGGTGTCATAGCTTGCTCAGTAACAAGTTCATCCATTGAATTTGTCTCTTGTCTGAACCAATGCGATTGTTGATGACATGGCTTGTCTTGCCATGAAAGTACCTTTTTATTTGCCATGAAAGTACCTTTTCTTTCTCCCCACGTGGCATTGCTATCCAGACAATATAGTTGGGCATTTATTTATCCTGCAACCTGTGGAGCTGCAGACAAAGGAAGATGCTGGCTGAATGATAAGCTTGCTTTTTCTTTTTGTGCCGTTACATCAAGATGCATTGCACGTAGCCAGCTCTGTGCCCCCCTTTTTGGCAGTTAATGTGAAGACAGCTACTGTACAACTGCATTCATAATACATATGTGATCTCAGAGGTGCTGTAGCTTCCTTTGTGGCTCCAGTCTATCTGCAAAAGGCTATATATATGGTCTCCCTTACAGGCATAAGCAAGCAGAGTAAATGCAGTGAAAGAAGAGGGGAAGCATGTGGAGCATGGCCTTGTGCTTTGGGATGTCAGAGTATATATCTAAAGCCCTTGGCAGGTGAGAGTGAGGGAGATAATCTTAGTTGGAGGCTTTGAGTGAGGAGGTAGGGTGAGAACCAAACCAGGGCTGTGAGAGGTTGGTGAGAACCTCTCTGCATTGGGCCAGCTGGTTGTTTTTATCTGCTTGGTTAACTGGCAACTCTGCTGTGTAGTGAGTCTATGGGAGACAGCAGGATAGGGCCTATAAACTAAGACGTTTTGTTCTGGGTCTCCCTGTCTATCAGGGACTCTTGACTGCCTGTCCCAGGAAATGATTTTTTGCAGGCTCCCACCTGACTCTGTGAGAAGGAGCAGGTGCCTGGGCTGCCACTTTTCATGGGCAGCATATTCTGGCACACTGTTCAGAAGTCTCTAGGGTATGAGGCTTCATTTTGTTCTTTTTTGAACAAGAACTATATTGCGTTGAGTGCTAGCAGGAAGAAGAGCACTTGCTGAAGCAGTATGTGCTGTCGCTGTTATATTAGCCTGTACTGCAGCGAGTCAGGCTCGGAGAGAGCAAACTGCACAGTTGCATAAAGGTGTTGTTTTGCCTACTGAGCACATCCCTCACTTCCCTTCTTCCTTGTTGACTGTTTTCTTAGCCACTATGCTCCAAAAGCTGCTTGTCATTTGACAGACTGGAAATCTGTTACCATTACTGCACTTCATAAAAGAATGGTGGTAGGTATGGGGCGGGTGAGAGACTTATCTCTGGCCTGCCTGTTCAGTAATTCCTAATATATTTTAATAGGGGGAAATTCAGTCTAAAGAAACGGGAATCAATCTCCTTGCAACAGCCAGAAGTAAACCAAGTCTCCAATCCAGGGGCCCACCAAGCCCCAATTCTGTTAGTCAGCTCTTTCTGTCCATCTTCCAGTAGAAAAGGTTCTCTCCAAAATCCCCTAAGCATTTCTGGCTCCTTGGGCAGTCTTTGCAAAGATAGCTCATGGGACATGAAACCTTTATCTGAATACTCTCGCCTCTGAGGGTGGCCCTGCCATGATAGGATTTAGAAATGTTGAGTGGGCAGATGGCTGCTCTGCTGTGCCCATCCTGTGGGCAAATAGGACTTTCCAGATCCAATAATCTAGCACTTGTCTCCAGCTATAATTGGCAAGAAATTGCACACAAACTAAGGAGGTGCATCATGAAGGCAGTATTGGGGGCTGGAGCAGAAGGGCTGAATTTTTCTGGCGCTGGCACAAGTGAACTCATGAACCAATCCCTGCTCATGGTATCCCTATTGATTGGATAAAGACATTTAGGAATGTTCCTAATGACTCATACCCTCCCAGGAGCCGGTTGTGAGTAGAAGCCAATGGAGAGAGCATCAAAATGAAAAGGAACACAGTGTGACAGAACAACTCTTCTGGTTTTAAAACCATGTGCAGATTGTTAGAGGCAGGTGCGCTGGCATTTAATAAAGCTGTGTTGTACAGGACACTCCGGGTGGGTGTGACTAGGATACTTGGACACCCTAAGGTATTGAGTGACTCTTGTGTTCACATACCCAGCTGCCTCCCAGTAGGGGGAAGAGCATAGACCTGTGGGCTAGTTCTAAAAGCTTTCTGCAAGTGGTAGCAGTGGGGAGCAGACCCCGGAAAGCTCCCACCTAGTAAACAAGAAAATAGTTGTTCATCTGGAGAAACTATATTTTGTTAAAGCAAGGAATTGAATTTGACTCACTTCCAGCTAGAAGATCACCGGTCGTGGCTATGTTCCCAGCATTCAAACAGTATCAAACAAGTTCCTCCATGTATATTTGTTAGCTGTGCAAAGGGCTCACCTTCATGTGGACTGGAAGAGAAATAGCCGAGTTGGCTGTGATTCATGCCCTAGCTATTTTTGGCATGCCTGTGCATAGACACTTTAAGTGCCCAATTTAAATCTAAATAGAAATAGGGCACTTTTATCTTCCATGCACTAAAACAATGGCATGAATTAAAATGAGTAAAAGCAATGCTGCTTTTGCTGCCAGAAAAATGTGCATTTATTTCAGGACAGAAAATATGAGTGGGTTATCTCACTGTATAATCCTAGCGGAGAGAAGACACTGGCAGCTTTCACCATGAAGTATCTAAGCTAGGTCAACTGCCACTTCATGTCACAGTAGAAGCTTACCTGTGCCTTGGTCCACATAGATTACACAGCAGGACAGCCAGTGCATCTTAGATAGCACGCCTCTCTTTTGTAGCAAAGACGCGGCTTTAGTTACTTGATGCCCTGTTTGTGTAGATGTACTTAAAGACAGGTGTGGTCTTTAAAATAAGACATTTTCTGCTAAAGCAGAATGTCCAATGTCTGGATACTGCAGTGGTGGAGAGAACAGCTGGATTTGGATGCAGGTGCAGGGAGGAATTTGGTTTGTGCCCAGTAGGCTGTGCTTTTGTGTATAAGCCTGGGGTTTGTTCTGTGGTAAGACACCAGTCACCACACTAAATACTTCATGAGATGTCCCAAAGTGAGGACAGTTTCTATATTTAAGAATGTTAATTATTAACAAAGGCAGCGCTGTTTCTTTGTCCCACTGTCTCATCTTATAGCTTCAAAAATGAGCCTTTAACAGAAGAAATGTACATTCTGCAGAGTAGACAAAGGGATGGATGGACAAATCCTTCACATTCACTTACAGATGGGGTATCGCTGAAGTCCAAACTGGTTCCCAAAATTCAGAGGTGCTTGAGCTTGGGGCCTGCGTTTGTGCTGGGAAGAGGAAGAAAAGAAATCCCAGGGTTTGCTTCAATCCAAGGGTAGCTTTTCAGTGTCCATCTATAAGAGAAAAGGACTAAACACAGGCCGCCTTTTAGCATGTATCAGAAGGCAGTGAAACCAAGGCTTCTGCCATTGTCCCAGAATAGAATATTGTCTACCCTGCTTCATAACACTGCTCCATGTCATTGGCCCTACTTTGGGAGGAAGAAGATTTGCCAAGTGCACAGTTACACATTACACACAGTTACACAACTGCCAACTAGAGGGATAGGCAGCTGATGGAGATAGACAATGAATTTTGCACATCTGACACTGCTTACAAAGGATGAAGTGAATTGAGAACAGAGAAAGCAGCCTCTTCAGATGAACCCTTCCCTCAGCAATGGGCTAACCGCAAAGCTTTCTAGAGAACAGGGTGGACTAAAATGCTGGTTATACCAGAGTAGCCAGCCATCCATCTGGGCTATGGAGTTCTAGATAGCACTCAACTGCATTGCAAGTCAGTTCTCATAAACTATCATTTACTAAACAAAAAAATAACGGACTACCTTCATGTCCAGAAAACAGTTCTGCTTGTCAGTGAAGAGTCACATCAATAACTATTGGGCAGTTTCATATATTCAGGGTCTCTGTACCCACCGATCGGTGGATTTAGTTGGCATTCATGTAGCATGTACCTGTTTCTGAATTGAACTGGGTAGGAAGTAAGTTTCCTATTAATTTATATGTTAAGCAGGTATTCCACAAAACTGCTCTCTACCTTTCCTGACAGTAGGACATCTCCTGTATAGTGTTTCTCTAACGCTGCAAGGTTTGATTTCCCTCCTCTTCTCCAACAGGGACCCTTCACTTTCTCAGGCAATAGTTTCATGCCACAGTAATATTTTCAGGGCTCAGGTACCGAAGACTTGTTCTGCCCAGCACTGTCCGTTCTCTGTTCCCACCTAGAAGGAAGGATGGCAAAGGCACTGAATTTCAGACTCTGCTTCATATCTGTACAACTAATACCACTGGCCCCTTCTCCTTTGTTTCATCCATATAGTTCTTCACGGCAGGTGTAGCTATAAATTGGGTGCGAGTGCCTGTCTGCTAACCTTTCTTTAACACAATATGGAATGTCTTTGCCTTGGAATTGACTGTGATGAGCAGATGCATTTAAAAATACAACATGTCCTTGTTCATAACAAGGAGAAAAGCTAATATTTTGCTTAACATGGAGTCTCCTTTCTCCTATGGAAGGCTTACATTGCTGCACATTGGGATTTAGTACAAGGGAACCCTAATCTCAATTTCTTGGCACCGTTGTATTACTCCTGAGTCACTGGCCCTGGAGGTGGCTCTGGATTGATGGTAGTCGGTCTGATTCTGACACTGGTCTCTCTGTAGTCTCTGTCTTTCTCTGTAAAATCGCAACGAAGTCTTTTGTTGTTTGAGGTTGGTATAAAGGATGGGGCTGGGAGAAATGAGAGAACACTATTTTCTTGCCTGAAAGATGAGCAAGTGGCAGGTATTTGGAAAACAAAACATACCAAACTTCACAAAATGACTGCTTTGTGTGTCTGGTTGCGAAAACTTTGTCTATCCAGACATGTGTAATAACGATGTAAACATTGTCAGAACAGGAGAGCAGCACAAATTATATAGACTGAACTCTATTTTATGCACAGTTGATCTATTAGCACAGCCTGAAAAGCTACCATTATTCCAAACAACAGTGTTCATTTTTTAAAATAACCATAATCATCCCAACGATTTGTGCATCTTGGACATGCCGTTACATCTTTTCTTTTTTACCTTGGTATTTAAAGGGTATTTAGTTTAAAGCACAATTTGCCTGAGCAATATTAAAAATGCTGCATATGGGATAAATGGACATCTTTGGGAACCAGTAAACACCAGTAAATCCAGCCTGACAGAGCTGGAGCTATTGCTATCCGGGTACCTTTTGGTATAAGAAGTTTGATTCCCTTCCCTGGTATCTTTTCAGTGTCTGATGTTTGGCCTTGGCTACTATCCCTGTTCAGTTTTGGCAGCGTCTGGAGTCACAAGTCCCAACAACCCCACAGGCCTCCTTTCTAGGTCAGGCCAGGCAATTACCTTGCAGCATGGGGGAAGCCTGCTCTGTGGCTGACACTCCAGACCTATGAATAGATCTAAAGCCACAAGGACTATCAGTCAGCATCTTCTGTGAATGCTGCAATTGGATGGCCAAAGCAATCTCTATATGCTGGAATGAGTGTCCTAATGAAAGAGAAGTTGTGTTTTCTATTTTTCCTTCGTTCTTTCTTTCACTATTTTGACTGGATGGATAATTTTTCAAAGCTGCTACTCCAGTGTCTTCTGTAGGTTTTCTAAACTGTTCCAGCTACTGATCTCCATCCTCAAACTTGCAGCAGCCTTTGAATAGAGAGCAGAGCACATTCACCCTGCACACTCTTCTATGCACTACTATCCCGACCATTCAGTTGGTCCAATATATACAACACCCACAAAAACTTTTGCCTCTAATATTTTGCATATTCCCTGGAAATGCTACAACAACCTTTCAACACTATGAGCAATGGTCATTTGTGTGCTTATTCCTCACATATTTCTGAGCCTCCAATCTCCCTTTCTTTCTTTTAGTGTATAGTGGAACCAAATTGCCAATCAACAGCTATTGCACTGCAGATTTTGGTGAGCCATTTTCTGGGAGATTCAGGCAGTCCGTACCTGATTGGCATGGTAAGTTTTTTTGTTTGTTTTTTTTGGCGGGGGGGAGCAGGGAAGGGTTGATATCATTTTTTTTAATGCTGACCCAAACCCTTTTTCATATCAAATATCTAAAAATTTCTGAGGAACAGGCTCTCGCAAAACTTCAGCTGATGCCTAGCCCTAGATTGGGAATTGCAGCAGCGGCTTTTCTTGTAGCGTGGTATGAGATGCATACAGCCTTCACTTAAACCAGGTTTCTTTCTTGGTGAACTACATCCATGATTCTTAGCCCAAAATCTTGAAAATGCCTGGTCTGTAAACTTCTGTATCTCTGCATCTGAAGAGTTCTACTGAGTATATACTCATACATTTTCAGGTTTGGTTTCATACTTTAATTTCAGCTCTGCTGATCCATGCTGGGTTTTGGTGGTATCATGTTTTAATGCAGCGGCTGTTGTTCAGTGTTTAAATGTGTCTCTTGTGTTGGACACCTCCCTAGGAACTACAAAATATCAATTTATTCTTCCAAAAGCAAAAAATATACTTAAATCTGTGGGAATCGATTTGTTTTGTGAAATTTCCTCAGGAAAACTCAGATTCACGCATTTTTTGTAATAATAGAAACAATTAAAATGGTCGAGGCTGGCATTCCAAGTGCGTCTCTCAAATGTTCCTCAGTTTTCAAAACGTTACATTTGTGTGGGCTTAATTTTCACGCTACTATGTAAGTGCAGGGTTTCGTTCTGATTTTTTTTTAACTGAGGAGGAGGAGGAGGGTTCAAGGAGTTGAGCAAACTTCATATACATCCAAACCTTCCCCCCCGCCCCCAAAAATGGGAGGGTTTAGCTTGCTGAGTGACCCACTAGGACTAGACAGCTGAAATTTGGCAAGGATAAACTTGATGAGGAAATTACCTTTTTAGTTTTCCTGAGAACTGGTTTTGATTGGAGACTTTGAAAACTGGAAGCCCAATCCCGGTACTTATTTGGGGTTTAGGGATAGTGGGAAGTTCCAGACAAACAGGTCACCAAAGACCTCTGAAATGAAACACTGGTATGGTACGTGCATGCACAGACCTAGAAAGGCTTGGGCTCTGTCCCAGAATAAAGGTTTATACACCTGATCTGTGGATCTTTGGTACTTAAATCGGTAGCCTAAAAGATGCCCAACTAGTGCCAGCTGTAGCAGGGAGTTTTGTGGTAGTGACCTTGCCTGGGGCTTCCTGTTGAATGTGTTAAGGGCGCTGCAAGCTGTCAATCTAGATATTTTTTTCTGGTGTGCAGCTTCTGTAAAGTCTATTCCCTGGGCCTCTGGCATCTGGTTAGATATGACATGCGAAATACTTTTCTGAGAAAAATACCTTTTATGTGCAATTCTCTTAAGTTGTTTACCTGAAAAGCACCAAGAAAAAAGTGTAAGCCTTCTGTGCCTTAACTCAGGCTTGACTCATGGAGCTGTTTGCATGATAATACATAATGAAGGACTTATTCCCCAGCAACCTTGCAACACTCCAAGGAGCGGATTTAATAAGTGTATGAATGAGGCTGTTTTGCTTCCAGTTGGGATTTTGTGCAAGACTCAAGATGTTTAGATAACCTCAGAATCAGGATGCATTGCTTATATAACAACAGCCCCCGCATCAGCCCTTATGAAGTCTACCTGTCTCTGGTCTTGTTGTTAAAGAAAGAATTGTTTATATTCAGCTCTTGATGTTACATGCTTACCTGCTTACTTGCTTGTCTTGCTCTTATAGCTTAAAAATAAGCACTGGAGAGCCGGTGAGCGGCCTCTTTCAAGAAGTCTATATTTTGTTCTCCGGGCTCAGGAGACTTCCTTACTGAGCATTTTAAAATTAAATGCATTAGAACTGCATGTCAGCTGTAGTGTTTGCTACAGCTCCCAAGTGCCTGTTTACTGTTAATCTTGCTCTGGTCTGGGTAAAGTGCTATAAAATAATCATATCATACTAGGGTGGCCTTAAATGGCTCCAGTTTGTGTACTTCAAGTGAGTTAGCTTCTTGGAGTTATAAGGTCAAACATAGGAATAAAATGTACAGCCTCTTATATTCAGCCCTCATTCTTGGTCTGAGATTATTTTTAAGATGCCAAGGAGTAAGGTTAAATATGGAGTTTTATTGGGCACCTTGGGTACTTGTCTGTCTACATAACTCAGTTTCATTCAGACTCATCATGACTCCTACAGATGCTACCCCCAATTCATGTACAGGCTGCTGCTTGGACCCTTTTCCATGCCATTTCTGTGCGTCTCCTTTTTAATGCTTCTGATTCTGAATCAAACTTGCTTCTCACCTTTACAATTGTTCCCTTCCCTCTTGAGCATTGCTTCCCACTTCATCTGCTCTATACCAATAGCAACCTTGATGGCCAGATTATTGAGGAGTTATCCATCCTTAGTCAAGGCCTGAAGTATGAAAGTGTCATGATAAAAGAAGTGATTCAGACCTTCACAAAACTTGAAACAGCCCAAGCTGGTTCTCTGTAGATGGAATAAGAAACACAAAAATGAGTTCATGGTTTTTCCACTGGCACTTCCCTGTGTCTGAAACAGGGAAAAGACTGGGAACTGCAGTGAGAAGCTGTAGTTGCCATCTTTTTCTGTCTTTTGTAACTGGAATTGCTGGACGTAAGCAAACCTAGGTTCATAAGACATCAAGGACAAAGGGATGTTAAGTTACAGTGTAGGTCTAGGTATGCAGGGCACCAGATTTGGCACATACAGGCATCAAATCTTGCTTTCTTATCTGCTCTTTTTTCTTGTTAGTGCTAGTTCTGAGACATGCACATTTCAAAGAATGAGAAAAGAAAACCTTTGGTTCCAGGTAAATGACATTATGTTCCTTCCCTAGATCTCTGGTGCCATCCAGAACAGTCATGTTGACTCCTACTTATGGCAGTTTCGGAGCCTGCAATACAGCTTCATCACATGTGCCTTCATTGGAGTCCTTGGGGGATACTTTTTCCTTTTGACGACCCTTTACTTTGATGAAGATCGGAAGGAAGGTGTCCAGCTTTGCAGAGGTTCCTATATGCATCTGATTTCTCTTACAGCCTGTCCAACAGCCCTTTTCCTGATACCCAAACTAAGATTGGCTCTCAAAGTTGCAGTGTAAGCCAGACTACTCCGTTGCACCAGGCCCCACAGCAAAAAGTGATCAGAACAGACGGCTAGTATGTTAAGAATCTTATGTCTGAAGTTAAAAATAATTTCCATTATTGGCAGTTTCTCAAGTATGGTCTGCAATCATCTGCAATAAGCAGTAGTAATAAGGTAGCTTGTTTGTAAGTGCTGCACACCAAAGAATCTTAGGGGGTTTTTTTTCTTCTGGTCAAGACACCCTATGAGAAGGGCTGTTCCTGGGTTGTACAACATTTCCCTTCTTTCCAGGGGAGGGTGCGCATTGTAGGTGTAAAGCTAGAAAACGGGACAAATGTTCTCTTTTCATCACCTGCTGCTTTTCTGAGGTGCATTCTGTTTTCCAGGCATTGAGAACAAAGGCTACGTTTCAAATGAAGAGGGCCTCGGGGACGAGTTTCCCAAGGAGTAAAGGAGCTTCTGTTTCCCCCTCTCAATGAAGGTGCAGTTGGAGGAAGAGGCCAAATCGCAATCCCTCCATATGGCAGCAAAACCTGAATACTAATTTTTATGACGCTTTCGACTGAGAGTCAAAAACTGCTATGGAATTGGCATATGGTGAACCTCCCCCCATCTGCGAAACTGGCATGAGTGCTCTGAGGAGGTTGGTGGCTCTGAAAGCCAAGAATATAGAGCTGTCACAGACATGACTATTATCCCAAATAAGACAGTACATTTTAAGGTGGAATGTCTAGTAGAGATGGGGCTGTGGTTCCTGCGAATTCTCAGCAGGATGATATTTGCTTAAAGGATGTGGAGAACACAGCCAAAGCTGCAGTCTTCTCCAGCTCTTTTATTAATAACTATGGAAGTCAAGAGCTGGCTGGCTAGTCAGCATCTGGTGCCAAGAGGAAAGAGACATGAGGTACCTCCATGAAATATATTCGTGGCCTCTTTATAATACTGTGGGACTCTTGTGAAGTACCATTATTCATGTATACCACCACTTAAATACAATGATGCTTTCTGTTTTTAGCTTTGGCTACCATCTGGATCATCTCTGAGCTACTGTTCAGATACCTCTTCGTGGATATTGTCATGGATGATTGTCTTCCCATCCAAGGGCTGTGCCCACCTGCACTGTATTGTGATCAAAATGCTGAGGTTCTCCGCAGCGTCCCAGAGCCTGAGATTTCTTCCTCACTGAATCTTAGCAAGTTCTGGCATTATCAGCCTTTCACATAATACTGCCCCTCCTGATGAACAGTATGAAACATCAAGCATAACAAAGCAGGGCCAAGTGTGAATAGCTGCTTGCTGTTGTAAACTGAGCACATACTGATGTGAGAGTTGTTTTGGGGGGTTTTTTAATCTATTCTAGAAATTGATTTGAACCTGGAAGGCCAAACTTGGTTTATACAGTGCCATTGCCCCACTGACTTTGGCGTGGTAACAGCTGGAGCAGAACTTGATGTTCCCCCGAGTTATAAATATCTCAAATTTTTAAAATGTTCAAGTCAGTGAAAATGAACTTGGAGAGCTTTCATCATTAATCAAATAAATGTCACAATGCAGAACTATCCAGGATTCTCAAATACTGAGCAGTTTCCAGGTGGTAGGAATAGCAGATGTTCTTCCACTAACATTCTCTTAGGAAAGTACATTGCTGCAGATTAGAAGTATTGCAATGATGGATTCTCAATACTAAGAAAAAGTTTTGAAATACTTACAATACTTACACAAAACCACACACAGCAGCTTTTCCTAGCATTTCCAAATGCCATGTGTTTGTCAGTGCCCAGACTGAGATTCTTCCTTCATGGCTGGCTGAAGTGAAGTCTGTAATGGCTTCATTTTGCTATTTAGACTGAGGAAATTGCTTTGCTATGGCACTAGTTTCACCAGTTTTCCTAACATCGTACAAGTTCAGTGCCTCTTTATGGGATGGGTTTTTTTTTTTACTAGAGCCAGTCCCAGGCATTAAGGAGTTAGCCTTTCAGGAGCTTTAGGGCACTTTGGTAAAATTGTAGTTGTGCAATATGCTGTGTAGATGCACCAGGGTGGGCAATTATTTTGGGCAGAGGACCGCTTACTGAGTTTTGGCAAGCCAGTGAGGACTGCATGACAGGCAGCCAAGGGAAGATAAATATTCATTTTCTAAAATTTTTAGGGGCCCTGTGGGCCGGATAGAATGGCCTTCCTGCCCACCCCTGGGATACACCCAGATGTCCTGGCAAATTGCTGATGGGTGAAAGAACTAGTTGTTAGAGCTAATTTATAGATGATCCTACAACAATGTCCTCGCTAAACACAACCTTCAAGACCATCAACTTATGCTCGGTCTCAGGGGCTGACATTTTACTCAAAGCAACTTGATGATTTTTTTTGGAATGCCTTCTGTATTGGTGGTGACCCTGTTAATAAGTTACTCACTTTGCATGATTGTCAAACCACCACTAAATTAAGCCGTACTCTTAAGAGTCCTGCGGAGGCACACATTTGGTATGAATGAGAGGCCAAATAGCTCCTCTGCAGAAGGCTTGAACTCCTTGGAAATGGACAAATGAACATTTCACTGCAGTTTTTCCAAAAGCTAGCTGGGGTTTTTGTCAGGTTTTTAACTATACTTTTACTGGATCCACCCAGCTAAATGACCAGATATTCTGAGCTATGCTCTGGCCTCTTTGGAGCTGGCATCCCCTTCTGCCTTGCTGCTCAAGCTGTTGATTCGGGGCTCTTGTATATGTGTGAAGCTGCTGTGGGCTCTCCAAAACTGTGAAATTATTTCTGTGAGCTGTTTTCAGACTCAGTACAGGGTTTAAAAAGTCTTTAACCTCTGACGCACTTCAGATGTCTTTGATCAGATCTTCAGTGTTTCTTCCCCTTGCCCTTCAGCTACCACATGCAATATTAAACCAAGTAAGTATTCCCTCTTAGATGGGGTACATGGAAGCAATCTGACTCTTGGAAGAATTGGCTGCAGAATTTTTAGGTTGCAGTTAAATTAACAGCCGGCAGCAATACTTACAGTGAGGGGCTAGAGACACAGGTTGGCTCCTCAGAGGTGGAAGAAGTGGACTCCTCTCTGTGACTTCTAGAGTAAGAGATTTGCAGGCACATGGTGTCATATTTGCCATTCTCTAGCAGGGATACTGTTGGAATGGAGGGACACTTCTGTTCAGAGTAGGTTCCTATTAGAGTAGGTTCATGTTGGCTAGAGAGGGAAAACCCCCTCTAAGAACTATTCCTGAAAGTGCAGGATACAGAGGATGTAGTAGTTGATTTGCTTATTCTTAGTGCATGAAGTGAGACAAGGAAGAACACGACATTAAGTATGGTGGGAAACTGCTACAGACCAGACTAGGGACAGGAGGGGTTCTCCCCTTCACTTCTTTACTCCAGCCTAGAAAGTTGCCTATCCTACTACAGGATGCATTTGGACTTTGATTCAAACACCAAATTCCTGCAGTTCATATCCATGTGGTACTTGCTTAATGATCTCTCTTTATTTAAAATGAAAATGTATCAGGCATCCTTAAGTCAATGTGAATTTGATTCAGCTGTATCCAGTTGCCTAGAAGATGTTGTTCTGTCCTTTTCACTCTTGTTCATTTATCATTGCTATCTCAGTTGTATTGTATTTTCTACAAAAGTAATATCCTATCTTAATCCTCCCCACTAAAATAAAAATAAAATGCACCATTCCAGTGAATGTAGTGTCATCCCACAAAGCTATGAAGTCCCCAGCACGTGTGGAGATGGTTGACTGTCGTCTTGGGTTTCAGTGCTGTTTGTGCATACAAAGGTTTTTAGTACTCCATGCAAAAAAACAAGTAACAGAACAAAGCAATCAAGCAAACGAACAAATAAGTCCCTCCCTCCCTCCAAAACATTACCTTCAGCTTGATGTCACAGGGGTGACGGAGTAGAAAACAGCAAGTCCGAATCTCCGAATCAGATTCGGCCGAATCAAATCGGGACAGTGGTTTGAATCACCGAATCGAATCACTGTCCCCCAAATCGTCCAAATCTGAAGTGAATACTAGCCACTTTGCACAGGCCTAGTTGGCATTACAAACTATTGCTAGTGGCAAACCTTTGTTGTCCAATGGATAGCTCTATGTGTCTTCTCCTGAAAGCTTTACAATACCCAGTAGGAAATCTAGCTACTCATGGCAGTGGTGCAATGGATGGAAATGGCAGTCCATTGCTCTTATAAGTAGGGACGTACCAAATACATGATTTCACAGATTTCATGGAAATCGTGTAATTGGCAGTCTCGCATGAAATAGCTGGTTTCCCATGAAAAAGTGTGGGGAGTCAGCTATGTTCAAAAAGCCGGCAAAGACACGGCAAAAGCCTAGAAGGACAGGGGCAGGGAGCGGGGAAGGGAGCAAAGAGAAAAAAAATCAAAGGCAGACTGCCTGTCTCCTGAAGCCAAAGCATGGGAGGGGAGAGAGGTGGGAAAGGCTCCCATCTCTGTCCCCAGGAGGGGAGGGGGGGGCAGGAAAAAGCATGTCAAATGTCCCCTTCTCCTAAAAGGGAGGGTGGTGGGGGAATGACAGGATGACAGGTAACTAGTTTTACACTTCAGTCAGGTAGGTACCGTTTAACTGCTACACTTAAACTATTTGTTTTCTCAGTCATTACTGCCCTCTGCCCCTTGAAGAGGATGATAATGAGTGAATTAACAAGCCAGGAAGCTCTAGGTAGGGCTTTCAATCAGTGCCTGGGAGGGGTGGGTCTTGTGGTGTCCCTCAGCCCATCAGAGGTGGAGGTGAGGACTGCTTTTCTCCACCTTCAAAAGGCAGCCCTGGCTGTGATATGGCTGAGAAGTTGGGGGCTCTGGGCATGTTACAGCTCGGTCTCTTGAATGCTCAGATTAAGCATAGTGGCTTCTTAACCTGGCAGGGGAAATACCATATATCTGTGTCTAAAGCGGCAGTTTTCCTGAGCTGCACTCCAGGAGAACTGCTCTTCTGGCGTAGTTCAGTACCCATCCAGAGGTTCAGTGGCTTTAAAGTTTAAACCAGTTTATGGAAATGGGAGTCTCCTCCCTTGCTTGCTTCGAGGACCTTATGGCTAAGGGCAAGCAAAACTCGGGGGCCATCTGAACCCCAAGCCTCCAGGCTTGGGCCTGCAAGTAGGATACCTGCCAAAGGTTTTGGAAACATCTGAACCCCAGGTGCAGGTGAAGGATGTTTGCCGATAGTAGGGCCACTTATGGTTCTGGGCTCATGAATTTGGAATTAGTTTTGGCTGATTTGACCTCAGATACGAATAAAATAAAACAAATAAATAAAAATTGGCCACCAGGGCCTGCAAATTTGGTTACATGGTTTAGAATTATGCATTGTGTAGCTTGCTTTAAATATTCCTTGTTTCTCTTCCCTCTGCCTGCTGGCAAAGATGAGCTACCTACCAATGGCAGGTTGTTGAGCAGCACTGATCCAATGTAAGAAAAGAAGTGGTTGCAGAAATCAAAGCTCATCCTTCATTTTGGAAGATAGAGTTCAAGAGTGTAAAAGAGCTACTGTTCTCATTGCTGTTTCAGTTCTGTTTAAAAGAGAATTGTCTTGGCTTAAGACAGGCAACTTGGACCTGACAGAGGTGGGTAGCAAAGATTCCTGCAGCTCAGCTGGTTAAAATCCAGGGCCTGATCAAATCTTAAGTCTGCCAGGAATGTGGTTCAGTCCATTTCTCTCTGTGAACCCCTTGCTTGTCGTCAGGGGAAGGTTAACCTCCTCCATGAACTTCTGTCTCCTAATCAGTGGAGAGTCATGTGATGACACCTATTTTGCAGCCCAGCATGTGCCTGATCTTTTAAACTGAATTTTTGTGCTAGTGGAAGGCATTGAATTGGCAGTCCTGGAGAGAGTGCCCAGTCACAGCAGAGAGCACCCAAGCACTCCCTCCCAGCCTGCTGATCTTCTACAATAACTCGGAGGTTTTACACCCCAGCCATGGGAGTGAAGTTGCTGTGAAAGAATCTGCATGTCAAGACATCGCCCAGATGGAAGAAGTGCATTTATTACTAGTCTTGCTGATGACAGGTGGATTATCTTGAATTGCAGCAGAATCTTTTTCATGTTCTGACTTGTAAAAGCTTAACTAATGCAAGTGTCAGTGGTGGAAGGGGAGAGTTTGATAAAGAGCATCTAGAGCCATTGTGTATGCAGTGTCCCAAATACTAATGGCCTTACTAAAGCAAAATCTGCCTTTCAGGATTTAGTTACATATAGTGCCTGAGCTGCCAATAACTCCATTTTCTCATTGAAGCAGATACTGATTCCCCTACTCCTTCCTTAAGAGAGAGATCCTGGTAAATAATCCTTGTAGGGATGCTGAGGGAGGACAATGAGCAGGAAACTGCACTGTGCAGTCCCAGGTCTGGTCCCAGTTCACCTGTTTACATTCTGATCTCTGGTTCTTGCCAATAATCAAATGTTTGAACTAATTTCTCAGCTCTAATTGAACTGACCAATACTGATAGAATAAGGATTGATTGGCCTGAGGAGGTAAGATTAATTGCTTGCTTCTGCTACTTGCAGATAGCTGAGTTTTGCTTCCTTTTTGCGGAGATTGCAGAAGTTAGTCTCTCTTTTAAGACTGCACTGTTGTTGCCATTTTGGTGGGTGGGGAAGGTTATCTTGTACAATTTGCATTAAGAGGAACCAGTTGTTCCCATCTTCTTGCTTAACTAGTCAGCCCAGCCAGTATACCTTAGGCTCAGGTAAACTAAATGTTGAAAGGAATGAATGTTTTATGTTTCTCCTCAACACTGACAGTCACCTTGTTTCACTAGCCTGTGATGCAGCAGAGCAAGAGACAGGGAATTCAGTGAAACCTTAAATCACCTAGCTTCTCTCTGAAAAACCTTCATCTAGATTGACAGATGTTTTACATCAGAGAGCATGGACCTGCAGCCCTCCTGTGGTGCTGTTTTGGCTTGTCATGCAACTCTTAGGGATCCTATGAAAAAAATTCCCACTGTTTCTCTAGACCTAGTAGGAAGCAGCTTGCTTTCTAGTGTGGTGAACTGGGCAGAAGCCCTTTTCCAGAGCTCAGTATCTCAGCTACTTAGCTTCTACAAGTATTCTTGGAAATGTGCAAAATGCTAATGACATGATGTACTTAGGCAAAGAATAAGAGGATTCTTACAGAGCATCATTTGCATGCTACACACTTCCTCCTCCGCTCCTTTTTAGGGATTGAATTGAACTGTATTAGTAGAACTAGTGCTTTTAGGCTGCTGTTTCAGGACATAAAAGAGTGGCATTTAACAGTAAGACAGCTACATGTTTGCTTTTCTGCTGGGAGAGTCAGATGGGGAGCAGGCATTTGACAACTTTACCATGAGACAGCCAGGCAGCATGAACACTAGGGGCACAGACAGAAATGACAATTGCATCTGATCTGGCCTCAGAAAGCAGCCTACAGCCACGACCAAACAGAAGTACATGGCTGCAGACTGCTTTAAAAGAGCCTGATCTCACAAAAATCTGAACCCTCATTGCATAAGGGTTCAGATAAATACGCTCCAAAATGGAGCATGTTCTGTAACTTGTGTCTGCAGAACTCCCAGCCTGTCACTGTTTTCAGAATGGGAGGGAGAAAGGGAGCAGAGGGAGCTAGGTTTGGGGTATTTTCTGCTGACCGTAGAGGGTGGGGTAGGTGGATTGCAGTCCTCCACCTCCAATCTACCCACCTCACCCTCCAGCACTGGCTGGGGAACCTCAAGAATGACCTCCTTCTGCTCTCTTTGTCCCCTATCATTCTGAAAACAGCATTGGAGCTGAAAGAGGGGAGTCAGTGCTGCAGGCTGCCACCAAGCATCTGGAATCCCCAACTCCAGAACGCAGCAGCGAACTTCTGTTGGGTCCAGGGGATCGTTGCAACTCATAGTGCTTTCTGCCAAGTGCTACGAGTTGCAACAGGAGCTACTATTCTGTCTGTGCCCTCTATCCCTGCCTGTGGCTGATCTCTCTAGTTACCATGGTGTTGAAGTGAAGGGGAAGGGGGGGGGCAACCCCCAGATAACGATCATGCATGAATTATCCCATAGAACAAAATACACCCCTGCATTTTTTAAGCTGCCTTTCATCTCTAAATGGTGTTTTAGCCCAATTACTGGGTAGTTTTCTTTTGTTGGGCAAGACTTTTATTTTGTTGGCCAGCCACACAAATACTTGAGTCTTGTACAACAGATAAAAACCAAATTGTAAGCACAAAGTTTCTCTTGGCTGGAACTTGATTATTTGTAGTCAGTGAGAGCTCATAAAATCAAGCCCCTTGGTTGGGACATTAGCTGTTAAAATTGGCCAGTGAAGGCTTCTATAAGAGTCTAGGTTCATGACTATAATTCACTCCATTCCCTCTGAATGTACTTGTGTTTCTGATAAAGGCAGTATTTGTCTCTTATTTTTTTCTCAGAAACGATGCTGGGTTAGCTACAGGACTTTTTATGTAAATGGTTCGTCTCTATGTGCTAATCAGCTATTGATGAGCTAAGTTCTGGGACATTTGATTGCTGTATCTTGTGTAAACGAGAGAATAATTTCTTTTACCTTAAGTGTGTTGGGCCTCGGCCTGTTTGCCAGCAGAAAGGAAGAATGGAACAGAGATAACTGCAAAGCTAGGAACCGAGGACCTGATCCTAAACCGACTCTCAGTGATGGAACATGGTACACCAGCAGGCTGTCCC